TCAAAGCAAAAAATCGGCCGAGAGACGGCTCGTGTCTCGAAAAACTTGTTAGTCGGGACACTCGTAAGTCAAGGCCCCACTGTATTGACCATACTGGTGCTTTCACATCATACCAATCTTTCTTAGAAAATGGATCAACCACTTTCTTCTCGGCTCCCTTTTTGCAGCCTTTCGTAAGGCGCTTGTTCTTGCCCGCAGCCATGGTGCTGCTCAGAGAGCCAAAAGGCTGGCTCCTGCCACTCTTGATTAAAATGAGGAGTAGGACAATGTGTTTTTTTGGGGGAAACCCCACTATCCTGATGGTCAAAGACCTGGCTCCTAGTTCCGTGACTTTCAGCAAGGTCACTTCACTTCTTTGGGATCTGAAAAGGATGTGGTCATTTTCATTCACCAAACAGTTTTTGTTTTGCTTTTAGAGGAGCTGATTTTCTCTTTTTCAAGTCCAGCATGTCCTGATTTAATTACTGCACTCACCTTTTCTTGTGCTGGGTGAAAAGATAGCCTGAGGGAATTTAGAAAAATTCCATACCCCCGAGCTCTGAGCCACTGAGAACATAATGAGCCAGGAAGAGAGAACACACACAGCTTTTGAAATAACCGAAAGCAGTGCACTGATCGCATTTTTTATATTAATGAAGTCTTTTACTTGGTTGAGGTGTGCATAAAAGGAAGGAGTGATGGCTAAGAGCTCAGGGTTTGGATCACAGTTATGGGTTTTAAGTCCTGGTTCTATCTGCCATTTACTTAGCTGAGATATGGGTCAAGTAATTTAATCTCCCTGAACTTCAGTTTCCTCATTTGTAAAACCCATCTCTCAGAATTGCAATGAAAGTTGAATACGGAATATGTATAAAAATATCTTGGCACACAAAAGTGTTCCAGTACCATGAGCTGACAGTAATAGTAACTTTTGTCACCATGGACATTTACTTGAACCACATCCAAATGGATTTGAGAGAACAGGTAATGTTTACTTTGAAAAAAAAAATGCTCTTCTGATTCTATTGTTACGTTTCATCACACTTTACTATAATTGTTTGCTTAATGTCTGACTATTCCCGCTAGACTGTAAGATCCTTGAGAAAGGAGCGATGTCTCTCTCATCTACCCCGGAACACATGAATTAGCACGAGGTTTAGCCTGTTGTTTCTGTGGTGGTGACCAGGGTATGCTCCCCAGCTCCCCATGGATGGCAGATCAGGTGGTGGAAGGGGTTTGGATGCAAGGAAGGCAAACATAGGAGGTGAAAATAAATAACAGGTGTTCCTCAGTCATTCCCTCAGGATTACTGTGAAGGTTACAGGCTGAAATAGGAATGAAAGTATGAAAGGCATCAGAATTAAGGCCATCAGAGGGGTTCTAGTTCTGGTTCTCTCAACATGGAATGAGAGATGTGAGCACAGCCAGGTGGATGGGAATAACTTCATCCAATAGCTTAGAGGCTATTTCAATGCCTTTGATCTTTATGGTTCTTTTTGGGGAAAATTTTAAGTGCATAATCTGTGTTTTAATGTCTCTGTATTCAAGTACAATTTCCCCTTTTACTCATTTACTACATTTGCATTCAGTTACATACATGAATTAAAGTCCTATAGGCAGCTTTGGATTAGTCCTATCAACTGAGCAGAATATCTGGGAGAGGCTCCAAAAACAACATTCTGATCTATCAAACGAGGTTCTGTCTTCAACCTGCTGATCATGGACCCCTCTGGGGTTAAGCAGATTTTTAGACTTTTAGAATAATGAAGGTACTAGGTCAGTGGTTCTCAACCTTCTGGCCCTTTAAATACAGTTCCTCATGTTGTGACCCAACCATAAAATTATTTTCGTTGCTACTTCATAACTGTAATGCTGCTACTGTTATGAATCGTAATGTAAATATCTGATATGCAGGATGGTCTTAGGCGACCCCTGTGAAAGGGTCGTTCGACCACCAAAGGGGTCGCGACCCACAGGTTGAGAACCGCTGTACTAGGTGATTGTAACAGCTCAATAAAGAGAACACACAATGAGAGGGAAAGCTGGTCTAGGCCCAGGAGGGTATTGTTAACAAAAGAAAGACCTGCAACAGGATCACCTGAAATTTGGATAGTCTTCTAAGGTGTTGAAGTCAGCTTCTTAGCCTCACCAAAAGGAAGAAAGAGTTCCAAGCAGAGATAGTTTCCCAATCAGTGTCAAGGAGGTGTCCTCATGGCAAATCTGAGTGGATAGCAGATTGCTCTTCTCAATCCTGACTTTCAATAATGGAAGTCCATTTTTGCCAGATCATGCACAGTGATAGGTATGAATTCAAGTAACTGTTGAGTAAGTCTGCTAAACATGTCTTTTACAGAATGAAGGAGGAAAAGTCTCTGAAAGAGAAAGCACCAAGTCACAAAAGCCCTCACATCCGAATTGTTAAAAATTATTGGTATAGACGTGGAGTCTCTTAAAAACTTCACCTCTAAACTGGTACTAACACTCATTAAGTGTTTGTCTCCAACAAAAATCACAAGGAATTCAAATGAAAATGATATTTTCCTTGTACTGGAGTCTATATTCAGTGACCTTAAGAAAATTAACATATATTTTAAAAAGGAATAAGTGAACCAATTTTTAGTATAAGCCAAACTCTTGATTCTTAAATCTCTTCAGAAAGTTTCAAGATGCTTAAATAAATATAAAGACAATTGCTGACATTTGAGCTGCCTGGGTAATGTATCCTCTGATTTGTCACAACACTGCACACATTTACATGTTCTTTTGAATCCATAGCACCGAGCTCTGGTGGTCAATTAGAGATTTATTTGTAATCAACCATGGTGCCTGGCACTGTCATCCTATTTTAGAAAGCTAAGTAGTTTAAGAAAAATCTCAGACTGTTTCTTCCAGAGTTATTTACACTAAGTTATACTAACACATCGTTTCAGGAGAGAAGACAGTGTAAACTCTGGGGGAGGGGGGTGT